TGGATCTCTGTGAGTCCAAGGCCAGCCTGGGCTACATAGAGAGTCCAGGACCGCTAGGGCTATACAGTGAGACCCTGTCTCAAAAACAGAAGCAGAAGACATACAGAAAGCTGGGGCCGGGTGGACTGCGCTCTCAGACCGAAGAGCCTCAGTACCTGGGAAGCTCAGCACGTTTATTAGATAGAGTCGAACAGGCAGTGGTGTTCTTGCATACAGATAAACAGGGAGGCAAGGTGTATGGGATAGAGCTGGAGTAAGGGGACCTCTGTAAGGAAGCAGGCTGTAAATATCTGGGGATGTGAGGATTAGGGGGAAAGCATGGTGGACATCGTCCGCACATACTGTCAACATTCACAATCAGTTCCCCAGGAAGGTTTTGCCTTCCTTCTGAGCTGAGGCTGTGGGGTCCTTGACATGGCCATGTCTATGTCAACATTTTCACTCAGGACTTCACCCACTCAAGACTTCCTCTGCTCCCTAGAGTCATGGTCTTCTGAGCCTGGACAGTCTCAGAGTGTGTCGTATCTTCTTCACAAAGGATGTTCTTTGTGTCTGAATATGTGGAGTCTCTCCCAGGGAGTGAGTTAGGGCCCACTTCAGGGGGAAAGGGCCGTAGAAGGCAAGAGAAATCATCCTGTCCCCATCTTTCCTTAATGGTCTAGTGCTGCTTGTGGGGTGGCCTGTCCTGAACCCCATCACCTCCTGTGTGCCAGTGACCACAGCCTTTCCCCCACCGCACACCGAGCGGTAAGATGGGGACTCGGTGTAGCTTCTGCCTCTTGGGGTTGTGAGGATGTATCAGCCAAACTGGGTGCCTGCTCAATAAATGTTGGCTCTTGCAGTCTTTATTGCAGTTTATGGTGTCAGGACACTGTTTTAAAATCTCTTGTTATGATAAATATGAGTTCATAAACATTTCAGTTGACAAGTGAGCACCATCAAAAAGTCAAAAGAAAAAATGACAACTTTTTACAAACAATTACAGGGCATACTTGTAATTCATAACAAAGGGTTCATCCCTGATACGTGAAGACTAACAGTTCAATAAAAAAAAAAATATGGATGACTGTAAAGCAATTTTATCGTAACATGCTTGTGCTACGGAGTTCATGCCTAATGCATAATCACAGGCCATCAGGAGCCTGGAGAAGGGCCCGAGAAGCCATAGCTGGAGAACTATGGTTACAGAGGGCCATGCAGACTGTGTCTGTGCAGTGTGGGGAGCCGCGGGGAGTCACTCCCTCTCAGAAATGCTCTGGTCCCCTCCTGTGCCTGCTTACTCTGTTTCCCCAGAGCATCTCTCTGTCCCTCACTCCTGCTGCTTCCCATCTGCTCCATCCTTCCCACGGCTGCTGTTTCTGCTGAGATGACCTTCTGTACCTAGGCTAATCTCCCCGAGATGCACTTTCTCCAGCCTGCTTAGAAACCTCCAGTGGCCTTCCTCTGGGTAGCAGGAGGTCTAAGTTGTGAACCTCGGGGGGCCTCTGTAATCTAGTCTAACCTCCTAAGTCTTCCTCACTGTAATTTTCAGGAGCCCTCCCGACATCTAAACTGCCTGGCCCTGCTCACCATGCTCAGTTCTGCCTCGGAGCCCAGTCCCCTGTCTTGTACATGGCCCAAGGTCCAGCTCAGTTCTGGTCTCCACCAGGTGCCTTTGCTTGCACTCTGACCTCATTGCCCAGTGTTTTCTCGTGTCCCACTGCATTTTTGAGGCCAGAATATCTGACAGGATCATCTTAAGGTCAGAAAGGCTTTTGCTGGTTGCTGTTTCAAAGACTGACAGTCAGCATGTTGGTGCAGCATGGTGGTGTTCATGGCTGTTGGAATGTGAGGTGGAGCTTCTTCCCATCACAGACCAGAAAGCAGAGTGACCAGAACTAGCAGCTAGGCTGCAGCTTTAAAGGCCCCCCCTGCTCACATACTTCTGCTAGCCAGTCCCTGGCTCCTAATGGTGGCAGCCTTCCAGAATGGTGCCACCAGCTGGGAAGCATTGTTTAAAAACATGTGTGTGTGTGTGTGTGTGTGTGTGTGTGTTAGATTCAGAGATAACAGTGCCTGTACTCGAATCATACACTTAGCATTTGCTGAAGAGGCTTTTGTTTGTTTGTTTTGTTTTTATATTGTCGAGACAGGCTAGCCTCAAGTTTTCAATCCTCCAGCCTCAGACTCCCGAATGCTGAGATTATAGGCGTCCCCCTCCATCCCGGCTCCAGGTAGACATTTTCCTTGAAGTAGAGAATGCATATCTACATGCACATGGAAACATGTTCAGATCTGGAGGAAAACACACAGGGACTTTGCATAAGATCACAGCCACAGCCTCCACCTTCCTCCCTTCTGATCTGCTTCCTGACTCCTGAGACTTGGGAGACAGAGCCATGCCATGTGTGTGTGCATAAGAATGTCCATCATCGGTGCTGAATGAACACCCCACATCAGGAACTGAGCCAAGAGCAGAATCCAGTTCCGGTAGATAAGAAACAGCGAAAGCCGACAGTCTGTAAGTTTCCGTTACTGACTAGGTTCTTTCTTGACAGCCAATTAGAATTGAGATATGTTTCCCACTCCCAGCTTAATTAGAGGTAATACAATTTTTGGTAAGTCCTCTTCAGGGATTTCTTGATGGTAACTTATAAATTAATAACAGCCTACACATGGACCCGTCATCTTTTTCTCCCTCTGTGGACTTGTAGACCCAGGGAGAGCTCTATAGCGTGCGTTTTTGTTGTCATTTTGCCCATCAAATATTCATTGGCCCCATATAGACTACTAGATACTGTTACAGAATATAGTGCGATTCAGTTTCTCCTTCCACAAGGTTCATATTCTGATGAGTCACTAGAAATAATTGATAGCACTAACAGCAAGGCTTCACACTAAAAATATAACAATGACTAAAGAGTAAATTAACTGAGAGATTGCTGCAAAATCATCTGTTCCAAAGTCTTTACCAGCATTCAGAGAGAACGGGAACACGGAGGTAGGAAAGGCTGTAAAGGTTAGCCTGAGCTAGAGACTTACATGTGCAAAATCCATCTGATGGGATGTTATCAAAGAGCGAGAGAGAAGGCAGGAACTTAGGAACATAAATGCAAGATGTAGAGAGTAGAGAGATTTGAGAAGCATCACAAGAAACTCCTGATTCTCAGCACCAGTTTACAATTTAGAAGGCGTTTTTGCTTGTCTGTCTTGCTGGCTCTCTGCCCGTTGTGATCTTTTATCCCATATGGGTTGGGGCAGTGAGTGGTGTTAGCTCCATTGTCTTCACAGCCTGCACTGGCCTTAGAGAGTGTACGAATGTGTGTTCCTTCTCCTCCTAATAGTCTTAAAGACTTCATTGAAACCACATCTAGCTAACTTCGTTATCACCACGTTCGCTGTTGGCTTTCATCAACCTGAATGTAGTCTCTGGGGGTTCTGCAGGAGGAAGAGCGCAGTCGGAGGCGGGTCAGTTCCAGCTCCATGTGGTGATGCCTCCTTTACCTGGGACTGTGGGCACAGGGATGGGGTGGAGGACTGAAAGGCCACCGTCCTTTGTCCTTTGTTTTGTCCCCTCCTTTGCCGGTTGATTATTCGATCTTCTCTGTGCCCAGAGGGCTTCAGTTTGTAAAGCTGTAAAGCTGTCAGTCTTGTTTATGTGGTTTTCACTTCAAATTAATGTTCAGCAAAGGGATTAGCAGATAACTATTTCAGCCTGAACTTCTTTACAAGAAAGTGGATATGGTTTGTACAGGCTGCCTGAGCCAGGAAGTAGAGTTAACTGTAGTCAGTCCTGGAGAGAGCTGGTCTCCTTTCAGAAAGACAAGACCGTGCAGCTCACAGCCTCCACGTAGATCTGTGGGGTCCATTTGATGTCGTGTTGAAGAATCAATATGTACTGGACTTTGTAAAGTTAGCTTTTAATGAACCTCAGGCATTTTCTAGGCCACTAATTGCAGGAAGGAGGTGCCAGTGTCTGGGTTCATGGGTGTGGGGGCTGGTTTAGAGGGAAGTGAGGAGACAGTTGCCTGTCACAGAGCTTCTGTTCAGCATTGCTGGGTACTTGTATTGAAAGGCTGCTTGCAGCTGGAGCACAGGCAGAGACCTTGGATACAAACCCCAGGACCAAAAACAGAGAAAGAAAGGGAGGATTTCTTGGGTTCTTTCTGACTGTAAGCAGAGCAATTCTTGCTCCTAGCAGGTTAGACACTCCTCCCACCCCAGTACTTCCCAGGCCTGACCTTGCTTAGTTTCTGAGATTAGACTGGGTGTGTTCAGGGTGGTATGGGCACAGACTGCTCTTTGGCAGCCCTTCCTCAGTTCCCTGGGATGAATTCCAATGGCATTTCAGGTTCTGCCTTCTGAATGCATCTTCACAAGGTCAGGTCCTTCCCTCCCACTGATGCTCTTGAAAGCACTCAGAGTGGAAGAGTGCAGTGTGGAACATTTCCTGGAGGATGCTGGCCTAGATCTCCATCTAATTAAAGGGCCTTCATAAGCATCCAGTGTCCCTCTGATGGTGCTGCATGCTTGAGTAGTGAGTGTCCACATCATGAGTGTGGCCCTGAGCTTTGTCTTCTGCTCCTAGTAAGAGCTGCTGACAAGGCCGAGGAATGTGCCCTATGGACTTCTGTGTTGCCCTAAGAAAACCCAATACTAATGGGGCTTGGTCAGTAACTGAGTCAAAAGCATTTTGTCAAGCCCTGAGAGTCTGATTGCAGCCCCAGGACGTTTATTACAAGTTCTCGGTCATGTCTGCTCAGTAGATCCATCTCGGCTTTGACTTTGCAGCTCTCCTTTCTAGTGCATTTTCTCAGGGGAGACTTGAGGATTAATGAGAAGGAAGAACCGGCTGTTCCTTCTCACTCCGCCCCCACCCCTCCTCTCTAGGATCATTATTCAGAATAAACACTGAGACGAGAAACATGGGGGGAGAGGGTGGACTTGCCGGTGTGGTGTTCAAAGGCAGATGGGACCGTGAGCCTTGCTTCTCCAGCCCTCTTTGGATTCTTCCTTTGCAGAAGTTTGAGAACTTTTACTTTGGTTCCCTGAAGCTCAATTCCATTCACATCTCCCAGAGGTTCACAGTGGACAGCTTTGGAAACTACGCCTCCTGCGGACAGGTTGACTTCTCCTGAAGTGGGTATGAAAAGCACTAGAAATGGAATGTCTTCCCAAGGTGGTGAAGAAGGGCGTTCGTTATTCCAGTCACTGGGGAGTGGGGGTGGGAATTCAGAGGATGTGCCGGCTAGTTTTTTTGTCAGCTTGATACAAGCCGTAGTTATCTGGGAAGAGGGAACTTGAATGGCTAACATGCATCTATGAGACTGGCCTGTAAACAGGCATGTCTGTGGGGCATTTTCATGATCAATGATTGATGGGGGAGGGCCCAGCCCACTGCAGGTGGTACCACCCCCTGGGCAGGTAGTCCTAAGGTATATAAGAAAGCATGGGGAGCAAGCCATGAGGAACAGGCCAGTAAGCCACGCCTTTCCTACCCAAGCTGGTTTTGGTCATGGTCTTTGTCTTAGCAATAGGAAGCAAGATTTGTGCAGAGGCTGACTGTCCTGAGTGGTCCTCTCCCAATTCCCAGCTCCATGTTGCCTTTGATGGTCGTCCACAGTCCCACCGAATCTGCCAAGATGCTTGTGGGTGCGAGGAGAGCTTGAGTCAATCAACCTTTGGCTTGTTCTAGTTTGTGTGCTAGGAAGAAATATAAATAATGTAAAATGTATCATTTTAGCCATTTTAAGTTTAAGGTTTGTTTGTTAAATACATGTGTAACATTGCCACTGTTACCGCCACCCAACACTTCATTTTCTAAAACTTGAGACTGTACCTTCGGATAGTTTCCTCACTCTTCATTCCCCCAACCCCTGGTGACCATTTAACTTTTCGTCCATGATTGTGACAGCTGAGTACCTCATGGAAGTAAGAAGCACACAGTGTTTGTCCTAGCATAATGCCCCCAAAATTCACCATGTCACATCATCTGACAGTCCTGCCTTCCTTTTTAAGGATGAAGAATATTCCATTGTATGTATACCTTATTTTGTTTACACATCCATCCACAACTGACCCTTGGGTTGCTTCCACATCTTGACTGCTGTGAATAGAGCTGGTCCAGACCTGGGTTCACAGATGTCCCTTCCACACCCTGTGTTCATTTCCCTCACTAGCCAGAGATTTATTTTTAGCAGTTACAGTTAGATTTGTGTTGCTTGATCTGTTCATTTTTATCCTAAAATTAGTCCCTAAAAATACGTTTTGGGGGGCTGGAGCTATACCTCAGTTGGTAGAGTGCTTGACTAGCTTTCACAAAACTGTGGGTTAGATACAAGCACATGTATAACAGTATAGAGTGGCCCATGCCTGTAGTCCCATCACTTGGGAGGAGAAGGAGGATCAGAAGTTCAAGGTCATCCTTGGCTACATAGAGAGTTCAAGGCCAGTCCAGGATATATGAGACCAAGCCCTTCCCCCTCAAAACAAACAGCAACAGCAAACCCCAAGGGCCTAGAGTCCCTGGCCAGTGGTTAAGAGCATTGGCTGTTCTTCTAGAGCACATGGGTTCAATTCCCAGAACCCACATGGAACCTCATAGCTGTCCGTAACTCCAGTTCTAGGGGATCCAGTGGCCTCTTTGTGCCTCCACAGAAATCAAGCACTTAAATGGTGCCCAGACATATATGCAGGCAAAGCACCCATACACATAAAATAGAAATAAATACATTTAAAACAAACAAGCAGCAAGACAGAGTCCTGCCCTGCCACATCTCCCGTTGCCCTCCCACAGCCCCAGTGGAGTTATGGTAGTTATGATAGCTCTTTCCTGTTTCCTTCTCAGGAGAAGAGCAGCAGAGGACCGAGACTGCAGCATCAGGAGCCTGGGAGTGTGGCAGCAGCAGGCACTCCGGCCTCCAGCTGACTGGGGAGGAGAGAGCTCCAGTCCACATCCTCCCTCCTGTCGTCCCCCCCCTTTCTTCTCCTCCTTTCTGTCTGTCTTCATTCCTTATCCTCATGACCCCTCCTTTCTGTGAAGTCTACTCCTAAGCTCGGTGTTAAGATCACTGTGCCGGGGGACAGACCATTTTCCAATAAATGAGATTCCCAAGTTACTGTGTTCTCTTTAATGTGATCCGTGTGCCATTATCACTGCGTTGGGACTACTGGCTTCAGTACTTACTCACGTAGCTGTTCTGTCCACCAAGGACTCCCAAAAGACTTCCACTTTGTGCTGGTGATAGTCAGGCTTTATATCTCACCTCAGGGTGTTACACAGCACAGGACTCTATTTTGACTCCACATGCCTCCCCAGAGCATCTCTCCTAGCTGTCGGGTAGTCTTGTCCACCAGGGTACAGACAGCATCTTTTGGGTGTCAGCGATTAATGACTTATGCTCGTAAGAGTCTTTAAGAGTTTTGTTTTGGCAGTTGTTGTTTGCTATGTCCGTTCTTAACAGAACGGGGACTTCTGTTATCAAATCTCAGAGTTCCTGCCCCTCCACGTGTGAGCAGATGCTGTATTGTTAGCTGATTTCTCAAGCTAGAGGGGATATGTGGTGATGGCAGCGTGGTGCCTAATGGGATGCATTGTAGATTTCTGTGGTTTGAAGCATTTGTATATTGGTAGATAAATAGCAATAGAATTTTTTAAAAATTACCTTTTGTTTTGTTTTTTGAGATAGTGTCTCTATGTAGCTCTGACTGGCTGGCCTGGAACTTGGTATATAGACTAAGCTGGCCTTAAACTCAGAAATCCTTCTGCCTCTGCCTCCCAAGAGCTGGGATTAAAGGCATGCCCACTATGCCTAGCCAAATTTGAGAAATAATTTTTTTACAAACAGTAATAATAGCCAGTATTAACGGAATACACCCATTTGTCATGTATTTGCACATTGACTCAGCCTTCAGAGCAATCCGCTAGACTTGGTATTATTATTATTATTATTATTATTATTATTATCATCATCATCATCATCATCATCATCATCATCATCCCTATTTTTAAATTGAGGATTAACAAGGTAAAGAAATCTAGAGCTAGAGAGATGGTTCAATGGTTAAGAGTGTTTGCTGCTCTTCCAGAGGACCTGAATTTGGTTTCTAGCACACCCATTGGATAGCTCCCAACTGCCTGTAACTCCAGCTCCAGGAGATACAGTGCCCTCTTCTGGCTTCTGTGAGCCACTGCACACATGACACATGTCACACACACACACACACACACACACACACACACACACTTAAAAAATACATAAATCTTTTTTAAAAGGTTTAAAATTTTGGCTGCAATCTTTGGTCTCAAAGTATAGTTTTTGGACTACCAGGAATCCCCCCCAAATCTAGGAGGGGTTTGTGAGGTCCACACTAGTTCTATAAAAGTAACAAGGTGTTTTTTTTTTTGCCATTTTATTCTCCAAGAGGCCATTGATCAGTGATGTCATTCTGGTAGTTAAGTGCAGTGTGTATGTGAGTGTTTTGTATCTTCTAGGGTAATAAAAGTCATTATGGGGCCTGGAGAGATGGCTCAATGATTAAGGGCACTGACTGCTCTTCCAGAGGTCGAGTTAAATTCCCATCAACTACATGGTGACTCACAGCCCTTATACATAAAATATATATTTTTAAAAAGTCATTGTGTGTTTTTAGAGGTTAACTAACCCATTTTGTCTTCAGTACTTCTGGGCTCTTACTAGTGATTTTCTCTTCCACTTGCTATTAGGAATTGTGTCCTGCCCAGACCTCAGTACCTCCATGTTACTGTTTTTGGAGACAGGGCCTTTAAAGAGGCAGCTAAATGAGAATGAGGCCATTAGGGTGGCCCCAAGTCCCACTGGCCTGGAGTCCTTAAGAGGAAAGTGGGACTCACTCATGAAGACACAGACTAGCACTCACAGAGGAAGGGCCTGTGAAGACCCCATGAGAAGGTGGTCATCTACAAGAACAGAGCCTCTGAGAGACCCACCCCCAATACTTTGATCTTGAACTTCTGGCCTCAGGAACTGTGAAAATAAACTGGCTAACGAGGCCTTTGGTCTGTGGCACTTTGTTATGGCAGCCCTCACAGGCAGCTGCTGGGGCACAGGCTCGCAGGCTACCTGTCCTCCTTTGAACCAGACATGAAAGGGATTTGTGAAAATAGAAAACAATGCCACGTTTTCCCCCTCGGAATTGGGAGGGATTTATGTTTCTCAATTAATACATTATTGTTCTGTTAATATGAAAGGGGAACCTTTTTAAAAAAGAGTATGTTGTTAAATTCTTCATTTTGTTTTCAAGTATGCTAAATGGCAGTGCATGTCTGTTTCACCCAAACAGAAGTTCTTGCAGGTTCTCAGTAACACTTTGATGTGAAAGGGAGACCAGGAGGTTGGGAATGGCTGCTGCTGTGCTTGCTGCCTTCCATATGGGGTCATGTGGATGAGAATGCTGGAGTTTGGAAGCTCCTCCCCCAAGGCCGAGTGTGTAAGAGCTTAGTCACTAACTGGTGGCATTATTGGGAGGGAGTGGAACATTGGGAAGTGGGTCCTTGTGGAAGGAAGTTGGGCCATGTGGGGGAAGTGTCCTTAAAGAAGATATTGGGACCCTAGCCTCTGCTTTCTCTTCACTTTCCAGCCACTATGAGATGAGTAGACTCCCGCTGTCCCTCTTGCCACAATGCTGACACCACACCATAGCAGCAGAGACCCTCCAAAAGCATAGGACGCGATAAACGTTTTAAAAGTTCTCAGGTGTTTTGTCACAAAGCTAAATGACACAAGGATCAATTGGGGACTGTTTTGTAGCACTTGGAAACACGTTACATATGAGCGCTACCGCTGGCCTGTATCCCCAGCCTATAAACCATAAACCAGATGAGCTCTTCCCATCCAGTAATAGGTCATATTACTGTCAATAGGTAGAGACCTACATTGTTTATGTCTGTATAGAAGACATTTTTTTGTAGATACTTGTTGTGTTTGAGGTGGACTCTTGCTTTGTTACTCAGGCAGGTCTTAAATTCCCTGCGCTGACGGGACCCTCCTGTTTCTGCCTACCGAATTCTGGAACTATAGATACAGACCACCGGGACCAGCTGTTGATACAGTTTTAAGTCTAATAAGTTGATTATTGATTAATAGTTTATTATCCAGGTTCTCTAGAGGAACAGAACTTACAGACTGTGTGTGTGTGTGTGTGTACATATATATGGAAATTTATTAGAATGGCTTATAGACTGTGGTCCAGCTAATCCAACAATGTCTGTCTACCAATGGAAAGTCCAAGAATCCAGTAGTTCAGTCCACGAGACTAGATGTCTCAGCTGGTCTTCAGTATACACCAGAGTCCCAAAGAAGTAGTCTCTGATGCCAGTGAAGAAGTAGACTTGTTATTGAGAGAGAGCAAGCAGGCAAAGAGCAAGAGCTGCCTTCTTCCATGTCCATCTAAGGTGCCAGATTAATGGTGGGTCTACCCACCTCAAAAGATGGGGATTAAAAGTGGGTCTTCCCACTTCAAATGATTTAATTAAGAAAAAAAAAAAAATCCCTCACAGGTGTACCTAGCTGCTTGGGTTTTAGTTAATCCCAGAAATAGTCAAGTTGACAACCAAGAATAGTCATCACAAACAGGTATGGATTGGTTTCTAACTGTGGTTGTTATGAAAAAAAATTGAAGTGAGTATCTTTGCGCAATTATCTTCTTGAACTTATAGCATCTAGAAATGAGAATGATTCTTTTAGGCACAGATTTGGCATTTTTACTAGAAAATTAAGGTTCTCCATTTTGTATTGCTAAATATTAAATGCAACAGAGAAATGTAAAAGACACACACAGTTTAACAAACATGTTTAGCAGCATCTCATATTTGGGGCCTGTGGTTTGAAAAGGCTGACCTGCCAATAATTCACTTTTTCTTCTTTATAAACAAGGTTGTTAGTTATTTTGCTCACCTCTTAGATCTGCTATCTAAAAATTTGGGCTCTTCCTCCTAAATAGCTTTGCCTTCGGCTTTAGCAAAGTGTCTCGGTCTGTGGTGCTGCAGGAGGCAGGTCCTCTTGGATGAACTGCCGGTGTGTGGAAAGTGTCCTGACCTCCATGGGTCTGAAGGCAGCTGTGACTGCCTGAAGGGCATCGGGTTAGTTTCTATACTCTTGTTAAGCCGCTCTGGTAACTAGACCACTGCAATTCTTTGTGCATCTAAGCTCTCTGCTAAGTGCTTTGGAGGCCTGTAGATAACTTTACTGAAGACTAGGATGGAGGGGCATGTGACTCGGTCAGTAGAGTGCTCAGCTAAGCATAAATACAAGCCCTGGATTCGATCCCTAGTACCACATGAGCCAGGAGGCAGCTGGAAGGTGGAGACAGGAGTATCAGAAGTTGAAAGGTCACCCCCAGGCTACATATCAAGTTGGAAGCAGGCCCAGGCTACAGGAGACCCTGTCTGAAATAAAAAGACCAGGATTAAGAAGATAGATGAAAGACGGCAAGATTTGGTAAATCTTCAGAACAGTGGATGCTCTTTCCCATCTGAGGGACGGACTGTTTTGTCTTTTAAAAGCCTGGGATAATTTTGCTCCAGTTTCACAGCCATTGTAGGATATGTATAGCATTAACATTAATTCTAGGTGGAAGATGGGATCCTCAGTTCCCTCCAGTCTACCGTGAAGTACCACTGTACCACCTGGGAGGACTCCACATCCATTGTGGGATGCAGACTTCAGTATCTGAAGCTTGCAGCAACACCACAGGAAATCCAAAAAACACAAAGGGGAACAATAGTTTTGTGTTTTCCCCAGCCCAGGCCACCGAGGCATGCAACACTCAGGCCCGCCAGGCCTGGTGTGACCGTAAACCTCATAACCTGTGTTTTTTCCTACCGATTAAGATCGTGTTCTTCCATTGTCTTCAATTTCTTATTTTCACCTTGCAGCAGCCAAGTCTTTTTTTTTTTTTTTAATAAAAAAAAAACACACCCTAGGGCTTGGGGCCCGAAAGTTCAATATGTCTTCCCCTGTCATACTCTCCAATTTATTTGTAATGTAAATCCCATTTCTTCTCTGATCATGGGTCTGTGCCCAGCTGCCAGCCTTCCCAGCTGGTAAGTCAACACATGTCTATAGGCAATGACTAGGGT